TAGATTTTGATGACCAAACAAAAAACACGAATACGTTGGAGGTATCAGAACCCAAACAATGCACTTGCAAGCAACACACTCAGATTTCAACACCACCAGAATCAAAGCAAAATTGCAAACGAGAAAACGCAACGCATAAAGGTCAAACTACCTCAGATTTAGAACTCCCTTATTCTCGGACTCGGTTTTGACTTCTCACTCTTCTCCTTCACTTCCGTTTCTGTGTTCTTTTGACGGTGCGGCGATGGAAGGTTAGTTATTGGAACAACGGCGGCTTGATTTTTAATGGTCTACAATCTCGCTCACCACATGTTCGATGAAAGTACTGTGATAGTTTTTTATGGTTGTTGTGAAGTTCACGGTGAGTTATGAGGAAGGTGGAGGTTGAGTTGTTAGAGGTGGAGTTTTGGTTTTGGTTTTTTTGAAAGGGTTCAAGAGGATCTCTTGAGAATCTTCAGAAAATGGAGAAGACTTAGCCCTTTTTTTTTTCCCCCTCCTTGGCTGAAGATGAACGGATCTTTTTTATCCCCCTTTTCTGAGGTTTCTTCCCTCTGCTCTTCCTTTTCAAAGTCTCACAAAGTTGTCAATTTGTTGGGCTCCAAAATTGCCGTTTTTTGCATATCCTCTGTCCATTGTGTAGGTTTGTGGTTACATCAATTTGGCATTGTGTGTTTTGGGTGTTTTTTTGAAGCAGTGACAGCAGTTGTGCAGAGCTGACAACAGGGAGCAGCAGGTCACAGTCCATAAGTTTTTTTAATTATGGTTGTACTAATAGAAGCAGGTCTGGTCTGGTGTGGGATATGGGTTGTGGTAACAGGGTTTGTCCTATTCTGCAGACTCACTGCTGGTACACTTTTACATATTTCTTATGGTGAGTGTAGGTTATTGATCTGGTAGGATTTGGTGCAGATACAGCCGCTACCAAACAGGCTTCGAGACAAGCCATTTTCGTATTGAGCTCGAACTGTCATTGCGTGTTGTAGTTGTATCGCTGAAACGTTGAGCTGTTTGACGTTTGTATGTTTGACGTTTGTATGCACGGTTGTTGATGTCAAAACGTTGAATCAATATTTTTTGACGCTGAATAAAAAAGGTCGCGGCTGAACCTGCGAATGGACTTATCAGTGACAGTATCTTCATTGATGTCAACTCTATCCAACTACTGCCAATGCGTTAAAGGCACATTCGATGTTTCAAGTAATGGCTTTTTTAGGAGGATTGAGACAGTTCGACAAGCATACACTACGAGCATCGACGAGTTTAAAACGACTACTCTTCAATCCATTTTGATAAATAGGATTAGTGCTTAACCCCAACTTCAAGAAGTCATGCTATGAACTCACAGTATCAACCATACAGGAATACATTATGCCACTGGATTGCCGAGTCATTGTTGCCGCGAGTTGATGGAGCTAGAAGGCATCCATGACTTTACGATAACCACTACCGAATTCGCCTTTTCACCAACCCATAGTGACTTGCATCCTAAAACTTGAAAATGGAATCATCGGCTGTTGTAATATAACGACCACACTGGCTGACTTCAGTATTAGTCTTAAGTGACTTGATCTCAAGTGCTTCAACTAAATGATTAGCTCTTACATCCCATAGCGAACCGCTACCGTCGCTGTTGGAAAGAAATGAAACTAAGTTTCCGCGTCGTCAATTGAAGAGGTTGAACACGAGTTGTTGTTGCAGATAGGCTGAAAAATTAGGATCTATTGACACAGCAGTCACTTCAGGCTTATCGTGTCCGTAATCCATCAACTGAATAGACAATCGGGGCGGTGTAGACGAACACTCAATACGATATATGTTCTCATCATGAAGAAGAACACGTGCATTTTCATGATAAACTATATCCACAAAGCTTCCAGGTTTTCTTGATTTCTCATATGCATATGGTTGAAGAAGTTTGCTATCCATCTCATCAGTAGCAATGGTAACAGCTTGAAGCTGTTTAACAAGTTTATATATCAGCTTGTCTAACGTGAACAAGACATACGACTGAGTTCCAATAATAGCACGACAGTCATCTTCAAATTTTGAATTATCAGAAGAGCCATCCAGCAAACTATATAATGCGTCCATAAATCTTGCATAAGGATCCGTAGAACTAGCATCTTTTGATTTTCGATTCATTTCAGCACTAGTTGAATTTTCTTTTGCAGATAAGATCCTTTCATAAAGAATTTGATGAAGCCTACAAAGCGCAAAGAAATCATCATTTCCGTAAAACACCCTTGAATCCTTCACATCTTCAACGAATGAAACGGCTGATACATGCTTTGTGAGAGGTTTCACAGTCGAAAGGAATCTCTCTGATAACGGTATAGATGAGCCATCTCCACCATTTTGTGCATCACACATCCCTTCAGCTTCACCTTCACTCTCAGCTTTACCATCAACATCATCATGTTCCATATCTTCCTCTCCTCGTGATCACCCCGGAAACATTCATCACCAGGAGACTCACTTCCCGACACATCTTCGCCAGCTTCAGAAACATTTTCACTATCCTCATCGTCAGCGTCTGCATTATTATCACCTCCAGCCTCTACATCATATTTCCTACTATCACCATTCTTCTTTGACTTTGCAATTGACTGCAGGTTTGAATCATAGGCAACAAAGTTATCCTCCTCAGAGTCAGCATTTGGGGATAATTCACCCTCTTCTTTTTTCAATTTTGCAAGGCATGGAAGACTCTTCATAGCTTTTAACTTTAGTATTCTCAACTAACATGTCGTTGGACACTGGTACTGGAGATCGAGCGATAGCATCACATCCCTCTAACAAAGAAGTCGGAGACTTGGCTTTGGCTCCAGAGACATCAGCATCAGTACGTCGGGATGGAGTAAGTATTCGGCCTGGAGACATATCTATGTTGGTTCTGTTCACACTGCTTTCGCCTCTAATTGCAACAGATGCAGTGTTTCTCGCTCCTGGTTCATCAGAGGAAAACTGTTTGCCAAATCCAGGGGCTTTATTATCATTGCAGTCAACACTTTTCTGCCCTTTATCCATTAAAAGATCAACTCTACTAACGAGTTCGCAATCAACAGAGCCATTTTCTTTATCATTAGCCACTAAACTAGTTCGGTGAACATTTTTCACTTCAGTTACTCTACCATCACCTTCGTTCTTATCAGGTTTTGGTATCCTCGAAATTGATTCTCTGTGAGGGCTCCCATCACCTCCTACATTTGATTCTGGTTTACTGCAGGTGAGTTGGCTAATCATGATAGTTGTGGCAAAGGTTGTAGCTTGCATGTTTGCGAATCGTGTCGGTACTTTTTCTCCGGTCTGGTTTTGGATTCTTGTGAGATGCGTGTTCTATTAATGGTTTTGTGATTGGTTGAGATTGTGCACTTAAGAACCGTTGGATGAAAACATTAACGGACTCGGTCTGACTTGTACTGGTTAACCCTGCAGGAGTGAGTTTAACATTTGATTGCAGTTTTGACAGCGATGATGTTGAACGGTCAACAGGATGATGGTACTTGCATCTTTCCCCAAATTTACATATGCCGGTTTTCATAAAGAAATCACATTCAATCATTCCAGGGCGCTGAGGATAGATACTCTCTGTCATTCCCACCTGAGCCATTGGATTTGAAAGCCTTGGATCAAAAGCTTGATAAAAAGATGCAGCTGGATTAATAACTCCAATGTTAAGATTAGCAGCAGCTGAGGATGCAAAAGCAGATGGGGCCAATGCAGACATAGCTGGATTAATTGCATTCATGTCGGGATGATTGTAGCGACAACTGACACCGAACTTGCAACTTCCAGTTTTCATGTAGAATGGACAATCCACCTCCCCCTGTCTCACAGGAAGCCCTTTGCTATTATGCAACAGCGGAGAAATAAGAGACTTAGTTGGTTGTGCATCTCCTATTGCCCCGTCAAACACAGCAGAATTTGTTTAGATTACTTCATCTGAATGATGGTTTACGTTTACCCCTTTGACTACATTTCCTCCTTTGGTAATGATGTTTGTTTCGAATTCAGCTGCACATTCATCATTGTTTGCAGCACTCGACACAGTAGAGATTCCATATTTGTTTCTTGGAGTAAATGCATTTTCATATTGACTTTGATAGTTCCTATCCTCGTGCATTGTGTTTCTCGAAACATCTTGTTCATAAGCATAAACTCCAAAGCCTTTTGAATTGATCTTCGAAGTTTCTTCCTCCAACACAGAACCATCACTGCTATTTCTTGACTTTTGTCTCATAAACATCTCCTGAGAAGTGGAAGCTTTATTATCAGAAGATTCAATAGAAGATTTATAAATAGAGCCACTATCTCTTCGCCGTGATTCTCGGTTGGATTTATGAGAAGTTCTTCTCTCCAAAGTGGAAGATTGAGAATTATTAAAAAGAGAAATATCAGCTGTAGCAGAAGCTACTGCAGTGCCTGTCATCGGGTGAACCAAATTGTCCAAAGGCTCTCTCGCCCTTAAAGTCTGGTTCAAATTGCAACCAAAGTAGGGATTGTTTAAAGTTTCGTAAAAGGGACTTGCATGACCGAATTCCTCAACCGAAAAAGGCAGAGGAAACGAGCTTGTTTCATGAGTTTCCAATGGCTGACACTCTTGTTTGTGAATTAGCCTCCAGTGGATTATTTGACAATTCCCAGAGCAGTATCTAACAAACTTGCATCTGGAGCAGCGAGTTTTAGCGGGAGCGGAACACCGAGCACACTCATGATGAGGTTCGTTATTCTTAGGAAAATAAAAGACTTGAGGTTGAGGGGGAATTACATCAGCAACAGCCATTTTTTGTTCGGCTTTAAAGGCTTCTTCAGCAGCCAATTGAGCAAGCAAAGTTATCTGATTTCTCTTCGTGGCAGTCTCACTCCATTTTCCAAGTAAGACGTAAGCCACCAAAGGGAGTACAACCAAGACCAGAAACAGGACAGGGATATCAGATTCACGCGGTTCGAGCATATCCCCACCAGCATACTCATGTCCAGTTTCCTCCCAAAATCACTAATCAGAATGAAATCCCCCTAAAAATCCAAGTAAACTTCAAATGCAGCATAAGCCATGAACTACCATTCAAACCTTGAACACAATGAAGAAATCTGAGCAAAACCCACCAACACTTCACCTTATTTTTCCACCTTGAAAAAGATTCCTTCTTTCCTGGCCTGTGAGGATAAATAGACAAAGTGCTTCCGGCTTCGTATCTAGGGCGCTTGGCCAGTGAGTTTGTAGTGTACCAAGCTTCGTTTTGCCCAATTGTACTCAAAATGGTTGGATGGTAGAGCGCGTCAGAAGATCGTTTAAGACCGAGGGAAGCAGAGGCAATATTCGCGGCGGTGAAAGCGGAGGCCCAAGGGTTAGTATGAGCAAGGAAATTAGCAGTTGAAGAAGATGAGATTCTAGAAGAAACACCAGGCGGAGCAATGTCGATGGCGGCGGCAGCGGCGGCTGCTTGTAGCTTGTAAAATTTCGATGATGGCATGCTGTTAGCCTTCTTCATTCTTCACAACTTGGTGTACTGGTTTGGTGCTGTGTGATTTGCTTTTCTGCTGTTTTTGTGCAGGTATCAATGGAATGAGGCGGGACCATCCTTGCTTTTTAATGGCTCAGGACGCGTGAGGTTTTTGCTTTGGTGCGGATATGTCGGTCGCTGCACTATGTTGTTTCGCCGGTTTTGGACACCTTTGAAAGAAGTATCCTTGCTCCAACATATCTGTTATCCCAGCCAAATGTGTTGTCAAACTCTGCAACTCCTAGGATTAGACCATTAACTTGAATGTGTTTTAGATACATTGGATTCTTAGTGGCCTTGTGGAGAAAACCATTGTGGTGCAATTTTGTAAAACCTCAACCTTGATTTTTGAATTGAACCTCTAACAACCAAATTTTATAAACTATTAATTATACATGAATGGATTTCTTGCACTTGAGTTTAAAACCACCACATAATTGAACTCCAATAAACCAGTTTGATAATAATGGAAGCTTTATCAATCACATGAGTCATGTCTCACAATTAGGAGTCATGTTTACGAACCAAACCAAATCCATCTTGAATTTAATACGAAACCAAATGAGGCCATCTTGAAATGTTATCTCTTGGATCACAAATGAGACACAAATTCTTTTATCATTAACCAAATGTTCAATTAGCCATATATTTTGAAATAAAAGGATAGGGATTTGGTGTGAACTGTTGTCCCCATTTGAATTAATCATCTCCAGCTCTCCACCACGAAATAAAATTCATCTAATTGGGATTAGATCAAACCTGACTAACTTTCACCCTTATTGAACCCGCACAAACATACAGACGAAACTCCAATAAACCTCAATTCAACTTCAATCCCAAAACATCCCAATAACGTCTTTAAATTTTGGAATAGAGTAAATGGGTAAATATACAGAATGGAGGTTACACTAAAGTAGGACAAATTTGGGGTATGACAGATGCCCCTATCTAATTGGCTTAGACCGAGTAAGATGAATTGCTGCAACGTTCACTTTGCAAGGTAAAAGTCAAGTGGATACAAAGAAGACTCCGAATTTGTCCAAAAAAGAAAGTAAATGCTTGGGAATGAAATACTAGATACCTCACAGAGGTTGCTAACACCAAAAGGATGTTAACAGAGAGAAACTTGACATCAAAAGGATGTCAAGCCTATCACCTAAAGGATGATGGTACACTCACACACACTGTTCTGACATCAAAAGAAAACGAGGGATTCACTGCCAAAAGGATAGCGGAAAACATGCTAGTCATGACACCAAAAGGATGCCAGACCCATCACCAAAAGGATGATGGAGCGAAACAGGATTAACCCTAACACCAAAAGGATGTAGGAGGATAAGCTTCTCTGAAGAGATTTCCACTTATCACTGAAGATGGATAAGCTTCTCTGAAGAGATTGCCACTTATCACTGAAGATGGATAAGCTTCTCTGAAGAGATTGCCACTTATCGCTGAAGATGGATAAGCTTCTCTGAAGAGATTGCCACTTATCACTGAAGATGGATAAGCTTCTCTGAAGAGATTGCCACTTATCACTGAAGATGGATAAGCTTCTCTGAAGAGATTGCCACTTATCGCTGAAGATGGATAAGCTTCTCTGAAGAGATTGCCACTTATCGCTGAAGATGGATAAGCTTCTCTGAAGAGATTGCCACTTATCATTGAAGATGGATAAGCTTCTCTGAAGAGATTGCCACTTATCGCTGAAGATGGATAAGCTTCTCTGAAGAGATTGCCACTTATCACTGAAGATGGATAAGCTTCTCTGAAGAGATTGCCACTTATCACTGAAGATGGATAAGCTTCTCTGAAGAGATTGCCACTTATCGCTGAAGATGGATAAGCTTCTCTAAAGAGATTGCCACTTATCACTGAAGATGGATAAGCTTCTCTGAAGAGATTGCCACTTATCACTGAAGATGGATAAGCTTCTCTGAAGAGATTGCCACTTATCGCTGAAGATGGATAAGCTTCTCTGAAGAGATTGCCACTTATCACTGAAGATGGATAAGCTTCTCTGAAGAGATTGCCACTTATCACTGAAGATGGATAAGCTTCTCTGAAGAGATTGCCACTTATCGCTGAGGATGGATAAGCTTCTCTGAAGAGATTGCCACTTATCGCTGAAGATGGATAAGCTTCTCTGAAGAGATTGCCACTTATCGCTGAAGTCTTCTGGAGACAACTCACTGGGAAACGCCCATGGATTTACTGGAGATGCCCCTGTCCGGGCTGATTGTTGATTTGAAGATCTGATTAACCACGAGGTTGCAATACATCGTGCAATACACCCATGGTCTTGAAAAGATGCCCCTGGTTTGGGCTGAATTTTGCTTTAGTGATCTTGAATTTTGTGGGAGGACCCACGGTCTTGCAGATAATGCCCCTGACTAGGCTGATGATTGCATTGAATCTCTTGAATTTGCCCAACGAAATGTTGAACAAATTCGTGGGGAACGCCCACGGTCTTGCGGAAGATGCCCCTGACTGGGCTGATTATGATCTTGATATCCTCTGACTCTCGTGGGAAAAACCACGATTTTGCAAGGGATGCCCCTGACTGGGCTGATGATGATCTTGAAAATCCTCAAAATTGATCCTGGATCCGATCTCGCACATGCTAATGCTGAATGATAAAGATGTCCCATAAACGAAAATGGAAATGGAAATGCGGATGCTAATGTGCGGAGATGCAAGAGTTGGGGAAAGTATGATATGATTATGGATCTGTATATGATGCAAGATACTTATGAAGCTGAATGCGATGTGTATGATGTATAGGATTGCGGATAGTAATGGAAATGCAGGTGCCGACATGGCGGACTTTGGTGGTGGGAAAGTGAAAGATAAGCCTGACTTCCCGACATCATCTATTTATGATGTACAAAGAACTTGGATGTGTTGAGATTTTCAGCTCATGGCCTGCTCTGCCGGGTTTGACGACCTTGCCAGTCAAGTCGTTACAAGATTTAGAATGATGTTCCTGCGCACTCCTTAGAGTCATGGTCACCCTTTAGTTACCCTAATAGGGTAAGTCACCCTTTAATCTAATTTACCATAATGTCATTATATGCAAAACCCATCATCAAATAAATGAAAATTGCAACCAAAGGGTAAATAAAAACAGAAAAAGCTTTGGTGAAAGTAATTTTATTGATGAAAACCCGTAAATGGGAAAATTACAAAAGGAGACAATTCCTAAAAGAGGTAACTGCTTTTAAAAGAGAAAATAAAGACTAAGACAATGTTGAAAATGGTCCCTGCCAAGTTTCAAATCCGCTATGGCCCATATGTCTCTGAAGACCCTTCACGCCTTGCTTTTGAGCGCCAGAATCGAATTGATCTTTCTCCGTCGAGAGCTTGATGGTTACGAGGAATAATTCACACGTCTTTTCAAGATGCAGTTCTGCCTTTTTGAATCCCTAACTTTTGCCTAGGCCGCCTTTTCAGGTTTTCAGCCTATCAGGATACTCTTTTTTTTTTTCTCTAGTCCCTAATTTTGCCTGAACCATTTTTATGGTCCACCAGGACGCCTATTTTTGCGTGGATTTCTTTTTGGGTCCACCGGGCCTATCTTTTAGGCATAATATTTTTTAACTGCATCTGCATTCACAGGGGATGAGATATCGTCACCATCCATGGTTGACAGGATCAAGGCCCCTCCGGAGAAAACTTTCTTTACTACATACGGACCCTCATAGTTTGGTGCCCATTTTCCCCTTGGATCGACGTGAGTTGGCTGAATTTTCCTTAGCACCAAATCTCCTGCTTGGATGTGTCGTGGGCGAACCTTCTTATCAAAGGCCCTCTTCAATCGTTTTTGGTATAATTGTCCATGACAGATGGCCGTCATGCGTTTCTCGTCGATGAGATTGAGTTGGTCGAGTCTGGCTTGTATCCATTCGGCCTCCTCTAGCTTGACGTCTGCTAAAATCCTTAAGGAGGGAATCTCTACTTCAATGGGCAATACTGCTTCCATGCCATATACGAGAGAAAACGGGGTTGCCCCTGTGGAAGTGCGCACTGAGGTGCGGTAGCCATGCAACGCGAACGGCAACATCTCGTGCCAGTCTTTGTAAGTCTTCACCATCTTCTGGACGATTTTCTTAATGTTCTTATTTGCCGCCTCAACAGCTCCGTTCATTTTAGGGCGATAAGGTGTTGAATTGTGGTGTTCAATTTTGAAGTTTTCGCACAACTCTTTCATCATCTTATTGTTGAGGTTTGAACCATTGTCTGTAATGATCTTGTTCGGGATTCCATATCGACAAATAATCTCTTTTTTGATGAAGCGAGTCACCACTTGCTTAGTGACGTTGGCATAGGACGCCGCTTCTACCCATTTGGTAAAGTAATCGATGGCCACTAAGATAAAACGGTGCCCATTTGAAGCGGTTGGCTCGATGCGTCCGATTACATCTATACCCCACATAGCGAAGGGCCAAGGCGAAGTCAAAACATTCAGAGGGAGTGGTGAAGTATGGACCTTGTCTGCGTAAATTTGGCACTTGTGGCATGACTGAACATGGAGACAACAATCCGTTTCCATCGTCATCCAATAGTATCCCGCCCTCAAAATCTTTTTAACCATAGTATGACCACTAGCATGTGTCCCAAAAGATCCTTCATGCATTTCATTTATGATACGTTCTGCCTCGTGTTTATCCACGCATCTGAGTAGAACCGAATCGTAATTCCGCTTGTATAACACGTCACCACTGAGGAAGAACTTTGAGGAGAGCTTTCTGAGATACTTCTTGTCAGTGATAGTTATGCCTTCCGGATATTCTTGTGTCTCTAGATATCGTTTGATGTCATAGAACCAAGGATGATTATCAGTTTTAACTTCTTCCCCCTCGGCCGCTAGGCAATAAGCGGGTTCGTCCAAATATTCTAAACGGATGGATGGCGCCTCATTCTCCCACTTGACTTGAAACATAGATGCTAGTGTTGCTAGAGCGTCAGCCAACTGATTTTCTCCTCTGGGA